ATCTAAAGTACAATACAGGTATGACAGCAATTAATGAAGGCATTGGAAGACAAATAAGGGCTTTACAAAGAAACCTGGGGCATTTGCTAATATTTCTAGAAACAGAACGAGTAAAATAAAACCAAACTGAAATCTATCTCTCCTCCCTCTATGCAGGAACAGCCTCAACAAGCCTTGCAAAGTAGAATTGTGTAGTTATTAAACCTCTCTTCTTTATTTTCCACCCAACCTTATTCAATGCCCTCTCCACATCTGCTTCTGCATGAAGATATGCTCTTGTTGCCTTTGATGGCCCAGGGAACAACTCTCCTATCCTCTTTAGAAGATCATAATAAAATGTCTTTGGAGCAAAGCTCAGAATTAGTCGCTTTTCAGCCAATGAAGCCAGGTGGGCAATCATCCCATCCGCTTTACTCTGCGGGTAGTGTATCAAAACATCTAGACACACCACAGTGTCATACTTTCCATTTAAACTCTCCAAATCCTTCACCTCAAATTTTGGCATCACGGGCTCCAAATCACCACCCCTTACTGATAAGTTCTCTTTGGCCTGCATCAAATCAACATTTAACTCAGCTTCACAACGGACATATCCCATATTGTAGAGAAATAAAGGATCATCTTCTACTTTTCCCATACAAAGGGTTACTTGCATTTTCCACCCCATCAACAAAGTAACATACTTTCTACCAAAAAAACAAAGTAACATACTTGACAAAGAAGATAACACATCCTACTTTCCCATCAAGTTAATCAAGCACATGAATTCTTGAATTCTCAAAAACTAAGAGAAAAAACAGTTAAAAAATCAACAGTAAAGAGTCACCCAACTGACCTGCTTCTCTGCCTCTGCCACCATAGCAGCTGAAATATCGCTGGCGGACACAATAGCCCCCTCCTTTGCCAAGGGAATCGCGAGAGACCCAGTCCCACACCCAGCGTCACACACAGTCACCCCATTCAGAGACCCCTCATCCGTCAACATCCTCATCACATTCTCCACAGTCTTCGAATGCCCGAGCCTGATATCAAGCTGCACCTTGTTCACATCATCCGTCTCTCCATAAATCTTCTTCCACCTCTGGAACCCCGAGTTATTAAAGTACTCCCTCACAACTTCCTTATCCCCACCTCCCACTTCTTCCGCCTGTAACCGCCGCCGGCGCTCGGGGTCCGTGAGGGAAAGGACCGCAGCGAGTGCAGCAACAGA